CACTCCAGTCTGGGTGACAGAGTGAGATTCCAACTCAAAAAACAAAAACAAAAACAAAAAAACGCCAGGCATAGTGGTTCATGCCTGCAACCCTAGCACTTTGGGAGGCCAAGGTGAGAGGGTTAACTGAGCCCACAGGTTTGAGACCAGCCTGGGCAAGTTGGCAAGACCTCGTCTCTACAATAAATAAAAAAATTAGTTGGACATGGTGGAGTGTGCCTGTAGTCCAGCTACTTGGAAGGCTGAGACGGAAAGATCACCTGAGCCCAGCAGGTGGAGGTTGCAGTGGCCATGAACGTGCCACTGCACTCCAGTCTGGGCAAGAGTAAGACTTTGACTCAAAAAGAATTAAATAAAAGATGTGGAGCTGGGCTCGGTGGCTCAGTCTGTAATCCCGCACCTTTGGGAGGCTGAGGTGAGTGGATTGCCTGAGCCTGTGGGTTCGAGACCCGCATGGGCAGCGAGACCTCATCTCTACAATAAATCAAAAAAATTAGCCGGGTGTGGTAGCACGCGCCTGTAGTTCCAGTTACTTGGAAGGCTGAGGCGGAAGGATTGCCGGAGCCCAGCAGGTCGAGGCTGCGGTGGCCGGGAGCGGCCACTGCACTCCAGTCTGGGTGACAGAGTGAGACTCCAACTCAAAGAAAAAGATGTGGGGTGGCTAGGCATGATGGCTCATGCCTATAGTCCCAGCACTTTGGGAAGCCAAGGTGAGAGGATTGTCTGAGCCCACGGGTTAGAAACCAGCCTGGGCAACTTGATAAGACCTATCTATACAATAAATCAAAAAATTAGCCGGGCATGGATGGTGCCACATGCCTGTAGTTCCAGTTACTTGGAAGACTGAGGTGGAAGGATCGCCTGAGACCAGGAGGTCAAGGCTGTGGTGGCTGTGAGTGTGCCACTGTACTACAGCCTGGGTGAGAGTGAGACTCCAACTGAAAAAAAAAAGTGAGATACAATTCAGGATTAGGTACATAAGTGGTCAATGTACTGGTGAAGTTTGGCTCTTCCATTGGTCCTCACTTCACTTGATTTAGGTACCACTTTTGATGTTATGTATACCTCCTACCCTTGTTAGTGTCCCGCTATTGCCAGTCCCTTTCTTGTCTTATGATAAATGTTCAGGGTCCACTTATGAGTGAGAACAGGTGGTACTCAGTTCCTGGTTTCTGTGATAGATCACTGAGTATGATAAACTCTGAATCCACTCAAGTTGCTGCAAAGTTCATATGTCTGTCCTTTATGGCCGCGTAATATTCCATTGTATATATTTACCACATTTTTTTTATCCAGTCCACTTTCTTTTTTTTTTTTTTTTGAGTTGGAATCTCACTCTGTCACCCAAGCTGGAGTGTACTGGCACACTCACAGTCACTGCAGGCTTCACCTGCTGGACTCAGGTGATCCTTCCATCTCAGCCTTCCAAGTAGCTGGAATTACAGGCATGCATTACCATACCTGGCTAGTTTTTTTGATTTATTGTAGAGATAAGGTCTGGCCAAGTCGCCCAGGTTGGTCTCAAACCCACGGACTCAGGTAATCCTCTCACTTTGGCCTCCCAAAGTGCTGGGATTATAGCTATGAGCCACCGCGGCCGGTCCAGTTGACTTTTGATGGTTGGCACCGTGCTTAGTCTTAATAGTCATTCTGGGCTGTTTCAGGTGTCAACCAAGACCTTAGCTGTGACAATATCTCAACTATGTCAGATAGCTTCTGCTCAGTTTTTTACCCACTATGAAAGACTGATTCCATGACCACAGGAAAACTTGCCCTTATATGACAAATATGGCTTGAACTCAGGTGCTGATGTAGGTCAGATTTGGGATAGGATGTTAACTACCTGTCCTGCACTAGGAACAGAACAGCAGATAGCTCAGTATGTCTACCTGAGTTCACACGGTTGGCAGGAGAGCTGCCTCGGATGGAACGGACTTGCTCTTCCACCTCCTCGTTGACCATCATCAATGGTATTTCAGCCACTGCGGAGCAGGAAGGCCTAGGGGGACCAGCTGTGGGGGAACAAGGGTCACTGGAGAAACAGAGAGGTATAACGGAACTGTCCTCATTGGAACCTAGCAGATCAAAGACCAAGAAGAGGGCTATAATCTCCTGGCTCAACAAGAGCTCAGGCTCTTACATCTTACAGTATGAGCAGAACTTGAACATTTCCCTTCACCTTAGCCCACACCCTGAATTCAACCATCCTCTCTGCAAGGGCTGGCTCCTGAGGTCAAATATCAATCTTTCTTTCCTTCTTTTTTCTGAGTAGGGTTTTCACTCTGTCACCCTGACTGGAGTACAGTGGCACAATCATGGCTCACGACTGCCTCAAATTCCTGGGCTCAAGTGATTTTCCCACCTCAGCATCCTAAGTAATTTTTTGATTATTTTGTAGGGATGAGGTTCAACTATATTGTTCAGGCTAGTCTCGAACTCTTGGCTTTAAGCAATCCTCCTATCACGACCTCCCAAAGTACTGAAATTATAGGCATGAACCACTGTGCCCGGCCTCCTGGGGTCAAAATATCTTAAAAGGAGCCGAGCTCGGTGGCTCAGCCTGTAATCCCGCGCTTTGGGAGGCTGAGGTAAGTGGATTGCCTGAGCCTGTGGGTTCGAGACCCGCCTGGGCAGGCAAGACCTCATCTTTACAATAAAATCAAAAAAAAATTAGCCGGGCATGGTAGTGCGCGCCTGTAATTCCGGCTACTTGGAAGGCTGAGGCGGAAGGATCACCAGAGCTCAGTAGGTCGATGCTGCGGTGGCCGGGAGCGTGTCACTACACTCCAGTCTGGGCAACAGAGTAAGACACCAACTCAAAAAAAAAAAAAATCTTAAAAGGTACATGTTAGCTGGGCGTGGTAGTGTGCGCCTGTAGTTCCAGCTACTTGGAAGGCTGAGGTGGAAGGATCACCAGCCCTGCAGGCCGAAGCTGCAGTGACTGGGAGCGTGCCACTATACTCTAGCCTGGGCAACAGAGTGAGACTCCAACTTCACAAAAAAAAAAAGTACGTGAATAGCTGAGTATGGGCATTGCCATGAAGATCTTTGGAGGCCTAAACTATTTAGATTCGACTCAAATATAAGTTCTCAGGCCAGTCCAGGCCTTAGAAATAAAAAAACAGGCATTTCTTACTTCTTCAAAGCCTCAGAAACACAAGTGGTTGGTCGGGCTTGGTGGCTCAGCCTGTAATCCTGCGCTTTGGGAGGCCAAGGTGAGTGAACTGCCTGAGCCCGCGGGTTCGAGACCCCCCTGGGCAACTTGGCAAGACCTCATCTCTACAATAAATCAAAAAATTAGCCTAGCATGGTAGCGCACACCTGTACTTCCAGTTACTTGGAAGGCTGAGGCGGAAGGATTGCTGGAGCCCAGCAGGTCGAGGCTGCGATGGCCGGGAGCGGCCACTACACTCCAGTTTGGGCGACTGAGTGAGACTCCAACTCAAAAAAAAAAAAAGGAAACACAAGTGGTTAACAGGAACAAATACTAAAAAGCCAGGGGTGACAGGAAACTTGGGCAACAGCTAACTATATTGACTCAACACAGAAAGGTACAATTCACAACACCTCATTATTTTCCATACCTGTTCATAACCCCTTCATGTACCTTCATTCTATTAGAGCTGAATTTGATATATCTAAAGTGTAATAGCTATGTATATCATAAAATTTGTACCTGGTTTATATAACCTATTAATTTTGACAAATAAGTCACTTAAAAAAATTTTTTTTTTAATTGGAATCTCACTCTGTCACCCAGGCAAGAGTACAGTGGCACATTCATGTCCTCCCCATCCCCAGTGTTGACCTGCTGGGCTCTGGTGATTCTTCCACCTTCAGCCTTCCAAGTAGTCAAAACTATAGGCATGCGCTACTATGCCTGGCTAATTTTTTAATTTATTGTTGAGACAAGGTCTCCCCAAGTTGCCCAGTCTGGTCTCGAACCTGCGGGTTCAGGCAATCCACTTGCCTCAGCCTCCCAAAGTGCTGGGATTACAGGCTAAGCTACTGAACCCAGCCCTTTTCTTTTTTTTGAGTCAAAAGTTGAAGTCTCATTCCATCATCCCGGCTGGAGTGGCACACTCACAGCCACCCCCAGCGTCAACCTGCTGGGCTTTGGGGATCCTTCCGCTTCAGCCTTCCAAGTAGATGGAACTACAGGCGCATGCTACCACGCGGGGTTCATGTTTGATTTTGTATTGCAGAGACAAGGTCTTGCCAATTTGCCCAGGCTGGTCTCAAACCCATGGGCTCAGGCAATCAACTCGCCTGGGCCTCCCAAAGGGCTGGGATTACAAGCTGAGCCATTGAGTCCGACCTTTTCTTTTTTTTTTGAATTGGAGTCTCACTCTGCTGCCCAGGCTGAAGTGCAGTGGCATGCTCATGGCCACTGCAGCCTCGACCTGCTGGGCTCAGGCAATCCTTCTGCCTCAGCCTACAAAGTAGCTGTAACTACAAGCATGCGCTACCATAACCAGCTACTTTTTTGATTTATTGTAGAGATGAGGTCTCACCAAGTTGCCCAGGCTGGTCTCAAGCCCGTGGGCTCAGACAATCCTCTCACCTTGGTTTCCCAAAGTGCTGGGATTATAGGCGTGAGCCACCATACCCAGCCCACTTAAAATTTTTTAAAATTCCACTCAAAAGTGCAAAAAGGAAAAAAGTTAATTATTGTTATTAGATGTCAGGATTGTGGGCACCCTTGGGGGGATTAGTAACTTAAAGGGTACCTGAAGGGGACTTTTGGGGTGATGGTAATGCTCTGATCTGGGTGTTAGTTATGTAAGTGTGTTCAGTTTGTGAAATTCCACTGAACTATATGTATGTGTGTGTGTGTGTGTGTGTGTGTGTGTGTTCTGTACTACATGTACTTTCTGTATGTATATATCATGTCTCAATTAAATTTTTAAAAAGTAAAATGAAGTCAGGCGTGGAAGCTTACACATAAAATCCTAGCACCGTGGGAGACTGAGGTGGAAGGACTGCTTGCCTAGAAGTTCAAGCTCAGCCTAGGCAACACAGCGAGATCTTCGTCTCTACAAAAAAAATTGAAAAATTAGCTGGGTGCAGTGGCTCATGCCTGTAATACCAGCACTTTGGGAGGCAGAGGTGAGAGGATTGCCTAAGTCCAGGTGTATGAGACCAGCCTGAGCAACCTCCTCGTCTCTACAATAAATCAAAAAATTAGCAGGGTGTGATGGTGCGTATCTATAGCTCCAGCTACTTGGAAGGATCAGCTGAGCCCAGCAGACTGAAGCTGCGGTGGCCGTGAGAGTTCTACTGCACTCCAGTCTGGGCAACAGAGTGAGACTCTGACTCAAAAAAGAAAAACTAGCCAGGTGTGGTAGCATGTGTCTATAGTCCCAGCTATTTGGGAAGCTGAGATGGAAGGACTACCTGAGCCCAGGAGGTAAAAGGCTGCAGTGAACTGTGATTGTGCTATCACACTCCAGTCTGGGAAATAGAGTGAGACCTCGACTCAAAAAAATTAAATTAAATTAAATTAAAATTTTAGGCCCAGTGTGGTGGCTCACACCTATAATTCCAGCATTTTGGGAGGCAGAGGTGAGAGGATTACTTGAGCCCAGGGGTTCGAGACCAGCCTAGGCAACTTGGTGAGACCTCATCTCTACAATAAATAAAAAAACTAGCCAGGTATCGTGTTGCATGCTTGTAGTTCCAGCTACTTGGAAGGCTGAGGCAGAAGGACACCTGAGCCTAGCACACCAAGGCTGTGGTGGTGATGAGTGTGCCACTGAACTTCAGCTTGGGCAACAGAGTGAGACTCTGACTCAAAAAATATATATATATATATGTATATATTAAAAGTAAAATGTAGCCGGGCTCGGTGGCTCAGCCTGTAATCCCGTACCTTTGGGAGGCTGAGGTGATTGGATTGCCTGAGACCGCGGGTTTGAGACCCGCCTGGGCAACTTGGCAAGACCTCATCTCTACAATAAATCCAAAAAAAAGAAAAAAGAGCCGGGCATGGGAGCACGTGCCTGTAGTTCCAGCTATTCGGAAGGCTCAGGCAGAAGGATTGCTGGAGCCCAGCATGTCGAGGCTGCGGTGGCCAGGAGCGGCCACTGCACTCCAGTCTAGGTGACACAGTGAGACTCCAACTCAAAAAAAAAAA